CATTTATAAGTGAAATATGTTTTTATTTCCCTTTATAATAATATATTTTTTCCACTTTTAATATCAGGTGTATCCAGATGAAGTAGAATGATTTTGAAGTATTTCTTCTTTTTCTATTGTCTATAAGATTTGGCATGATCTGTTTTTTGAAATTATCTTTTTTAAATTTAATTTAATTTAATTTTTTAAATATAGAATGCTTCACGAATTTGTGTGTCATCCTTGCTCAGGGGATAAGCAAATCTTTTCTGTATCATTCCAATTTTTAGCATATGTGCTGCCAAAGCGAGCACAATTATCTTTTATTTTTATTTATAAATATTAGTTGTCTATTTTTTGAGACTTTAGAAAAAAATAAGAAGTTAACTGATGACTCCATACTGAGCCTCAGAGTCAAAGCATTCTATGATAGACATACTCTTATCTGACGATGTGATGTTACTTTTTTTGCATTATTATTATCATTATTATTGCTCAGTATTTAATTGTAGTAATCATCTGATTTCTTTTCTGAATGTGTTTATCTTCATTCTTTACAAGGTTTTTGTTTCTAGTCCTTATCTTAAACATTGTTATTGTATTAATTTTTAAGCCTTTTTAATTTTGTGAAGGCAAAAAGTGGAAACCAAATAAACACATGTATATGTATAGAGAAAAATATATATTCTTATGTGGAATACTCTTAAAAGTCACATGACATCATAGCTGAGGATATGTATTTAAGCTCCAAATCCTATTTCTTAGTATCTACTGACTTTTAAAATTTATGTTTTGTCTTTGTGTCTTGAATACTTCTTTGCAAGGGCAATAAGTCCCAAGAGCTTTGAAAAGGTCTTATTTGCAATGCAATGGAACCTGAAGTCTAATCCTCTGCTTCTAACTCACCAAACTATAACTAGTTGAGGCATGTGACATTCTCATTTTTTGCTTTTTATCAGAGAAATGAGAAGATTTTGACCCATCCTAAACCCTCTGGCATCCTATGATGTCATAAGGATGAATTCACAATTTTTCTCTATATGATGCTAAATATTAAACATTTTGAAATAATTATAAACAAATAGAACATCAGCATCATTTACTGACAGTGATAAGTCTTAATAACCTCTAACATATACATAATGCTTTATAGTTTTCAAAATATCCACACTATGTGGAAGAATAATAATTGATACATCCTGAGTTTATGTAAGTTTATCAGTTTTCCCAAGTCTACATGATTAAGTGCCATCATGCTTTTTATATTTACTATCTAAGTGAACAGAATTATTTCTCATTATGTGTGATTTATGTTATTTTTGAAGTCACTGAAAGCCTACTTTACACCCACAACTATTTTTAATAAGTATGTTTCTGATTTCATTGCATTAAATGCCCTTGCTTGATGGCATTTTGGTCACAATTATATTAAGATACACCCACAAAAATATGATGACTGGAAGACCTGTAGTAAGAATTTCAAAATTAGTTTCCTCAAGAAAAGAGTCAAAAGATGTCTAAAAAATCAATATCCTTCATCAAGACTTGTAGGAAATTCTTATAGGTCTTCCTACAGAAAGATGGTCCTTCTCAAATATAGACATTCTTTCCTCCATCTGAAAAGATGAAGTAGAAGTGAAGAAAGGACCTGCTAATTTACAATTGATACCCACCAAGTAGAAATTTGAGGCAAATTAGAGAGGATAGGAAATTGTTTAGCAAGTCCTTAGTTGTTAGGATGTTTCTTCACAGAGAACAATAAAGATAATTTCAACTTGAAAAATGCATATCTTGAATTTTAGGATGTGCCTTAAGCAGATCCTTTTCTCAGAATAAGGCCATAGGTTAGAACAGATTTTCAGGTGGGAAAACCCTCTGGCATGAGGATATATGGTCATTATATTTACTAAGCCATGTAGCTTGTGAGATCAATATTAATGATCACTATTTCTTAGCTTTATATAATGTTAGGGTTGTCCACAGAGACTGAATCAATAGGAGATGTATATAAAGATGTATATTCTAGGTAAACAAGAATACCTAGTATTATTTTACTTTGCTTTATTATGCTTCACAGTTACTGCATTTTTTCTCAAATGGAAAATTTGTGGCAACCCTGCAGTGGGCAAGCCTATTGGTGCCATTTTTCTTTCTTTTTTTTTTTTTATTGTTGGGGATTCATTGAGGATACAAAGAACCAGGTTACACTGATTGCATTTGTTCAGTAAAATCCCTCTTATAATTGTGACCCATCCCCAAGAAGTGTGTCACACCCCGTGATCCCTCACCCTCCTCCCTCCTTCTCTCTTCCTGCACTCTCCTTCCTCCACCCCCACTGTGTACTAGGTCATTAATTGTCTTCATGTCAGAATTTAGTATACAGGATTCTTGCTCCTCCATTCTTGTGATGCTTTACTAAGAATAATGTGTTCCACTTCCGTCCAGTTTAATCCAAATGATGTAAAGTCTCCATTTTTTTTAAAGGCTGAATAGTATTCCATGGTATACATATATCACAGCTTGTTAATCCATTCCTGGGTTGATGGGCATTTAGGCCATTATCCACATTTTGGTGATTATAAATTGAGCTTGCTGACATTTTTCTAATAGCATGTGTTCATTTCATGTCTCTGTGTCACATTTTGGCAATTCTCATAATATTTCAAACTTTTTCATTATTATTATATCTGTTATAGTGATCTGTGATCAGTGATCGCTGATGTTACTATTACTTTTGTAATTACTTTGGAGTACCACAAACCATATCCATATAAGATGGTGAACTTAATTTATCAACATTATATGTGTGTTGACTGCTCTACTGACCAGCTGTTTCCCTCTCTTTCCCTCTCCTTGGCCCTCTCCACTCTTTGAGATACAACATTATTGAAATTAGGCCAATTACTAATCCTTCAATGTCCTCTAAGTATTCAAGTGGAAGAGTAACATGTCTCTCACTTAAAATGAAAAGTTAGAAATGATTAAGCTTGGTGAATAATGCAAGTCAAAAGTCAACATAAGCTGAAAACAAGTATTTGTACTAGTTGGCAAGTTGTGAATATAAAGGAAAAATTCTTGAAGGACATTAAAGGTGCTACTCCAGTGAACACACAAATGATAAGAAAGTTAAACAGCATTATTGAAGATGAAGAAAGTTTTAGTGGTCTGGATAGAAGATTAAACCAACCATAACATTCTCTAAAGCCAAAGCCTAATCCAGGGCAAGTCCATAACTGTTTTCAGTTCTATAAAGGCAGAGAGTTGTGAGGAAGCTGTAGAAGAAAAGTTGGAAGCTAGCAGCGGTTAGTTCATGAAGTTAAGTTAAAAAACCAGCTCTATAACATAAAAGAGCAAGGTAAGATAGCAATTGTCGATGTAGATGCTAAAGCAAGCTATCTAGAAGATAGAGGTAAGATCATTGATGACGGTGGCTACACTAAAAACATATTTTCAATGTAGGAAAAATTAGCCTTATATGGGAAGGAGATGCCATCTAGGACTTTCATAGCTAGAGAGGAGAATTCAATGCCTGGTTTCAAAGCTTCAAAGGCCAGGTTGACTCTTTTGTTGGGAGCTAATGCAGCTGGTTACTTTAAGTTGAAGTAATGTTCATTTGCCATTCCCCAAATCCTAGAGGCCTTAAGAATTACAATAAATGTACTCTGCCTCTGCTTTATAAATAGAACAACAAAGTCTAGATAATAGCATACCCTTGTATGGTGTGGTTTACCAAATATTTGGTGTTGAGACCTATTGCTCAGAAAAATAAGATTCCTTTGAAAATGTTACTGCTCATTGATAGTGCACTTGGTCACCCAAGATCTCATGCCTGCTAATACAGCATCCATTCTGTAGCACGTGAATCAAGGAGTAATTTTAAGGCTATACCCTTCGTGATTCCTTTGATGTATCTCAGCAAAATAAATTAAAAACCTTCTGTAAAAGAATTACTATTCTAGATGCTGTTGAGAACATTCATGATCCCTGAGAGGAAGTTAAAATAGAAACATTAACAAGAGTTTGGAAGAAGTTGATTCCAACCTTCATGGATGACTTTGAGGAGTTCAAGACTTCAGTGGAACAATTCACAGCACATGTGATGAAAATATCAAGAGAACTAGAATTAAAAGTGGAACCTGAAGATATAACTGAATTGCTGCAAC